AATTTTTTATTATTCATTTTTTATTTAGTTTGTTTTGTTTGTTATGATTTCTTGGTTTTCCACCCGGTTTAGTTATAATTTAAATTATTATTTGGTGCAGCTTTAGCGCTATGTGGTTTGTTATTATCCTTTTTCTTAATTTTGTATTTAGAGCTGTTGGGCGTCATTATTTTCTTCTCATTATTTCGCACCAAGTTATTATTTGTGGTACTCTCTAGCTTCTGTTTGTTTTGCAGTTGTTCTTGTGCAATTTCTCGTCTTTGCCTGTGAGCTGTGATCATTGTAAAAATAAAAATAAAAAAAATAAAAAACCTCAGTAAAGTCTGGCGATAGCCAGGGTTCACACTAGGCACATGCGGATAATGCCGGCAGAAAAATTGCCAGAATTCGGTACTTTTCTGGTAAGTTTCATGCATGTTTGGTATGTCGATAAAGAAATGGAGCAGAATTCGAGGAATTGCCCGCCATAAGGTTTGTATGGTTCTGCCAATTTCACTGCTTTTCGAGCAGAATCTGCCACTTTTTTTAGCATTATCCGCACACCCCTAGTCCACACAGCTTTAGGGGGTGATTATATGTGCAGCTTCAGCCCGGGCTGGTCGACAGGCGGGCCAGCCCGCCTGCAACGGGATCTCGGGGTTGTACACAAATGCACACAAAACCTGTGGTGCGTTTACATGGCAAGCGGGCTGGCCCGGCGAGGCGGGATCCCGCCCCGAGCCACCCGGGATCCCGGCTAGGCGGGCCAGAAAAAGCACATCTAAACAGAGCAGCCCGGGCCAGAGTTGTATTATTATGGTGTCTACACTGCGTTCATGCTACAAAATGGGTACTTTTACCTTTTGGGGGAAGTTATAAAGAGGATTCCCGATAATTATTGTCTTGAAAATCTATGAAGCTTTTTGTACAGCAACAAGAAGGACGTGCAGTGAGCACTGTTTATTTGTCGACATGCATGATTTACATTAAAGGGGCACTCCGGCTTCATTTTCGACGCCGAGTTTTCGATGCCAAGACGAAGGTTGGTGAAAGAGAAGACCCCTCGAACAAGAACGAGTCTCCAGAAGCGATCGAGTCGAGCAGGAAGACGACTTTTGAATTTCGCCGAGCGAGCGCTGATGACGTAATGAGGGATTAGCTTGCCAATGGAAATGCATCTGCGCACATACATTTCCCACACTTTTTGGCCAATTTTCAATCGAAGAGGAGGTTGTTTTCTATGTTCTCTCAACGTCGTGAGCGATCCCGTCTTCTATACCCTTCCAGGTACCCTGAAGGTCCTCCAGAGGAGAATTTATCTCCAGCAAAGCGTTGTTGATCCGCTAAATTCGTCTCGAGACATATTCAACCAATGCAGTGCTGATAAATGTAGAATATTGAATCTGTGATAATTGTCGACGATGGAGAGAGAGGTTGATAGCCGCTGTCGCAGGGAAAGTGAAGCTGCTGGAAGTAACGACGGGGAGCTTGTTAGCATCACATGAGCATCCAGACTTCAAAGCAGCTTGACGGAATCGGGGAGTATTGACTATTTGTCTCGCCCTCAGTTTAGTGAATTTTATGACCAGAAATTATTCGATCAGGATCCCTTCTACAAGATGTGTAGTGTAGTACAGGTGATTTCTGAACTTGACGATATGGAGACGGACCAGTAGACCTACCAACAACGTGTACCTGCAGGAAATTCACCCAAGGCTATTACTATCCTCTTCAGTGGCTGTTGTTTTTTAGTAAAATATGTGCACTTCTCTCAACATACTCCTGCATGGCAGCAAGAAGGTGCGCTATGGAATTCAACGCCACAATCTTCGCCCAGCTGTGGATGAAGCATGGTCAAGTCATGGCAGTACATATACTTGAAACAGATGAGAAATTGAAGTTCATTTGTGATGGGAAGTTTGGCAGCCCCAGTGACCGAGTCCAGCGTTGTCTTTTGCCGTGGCACAAATTGCTGAAGAATCCGAGATGGTCTTGGAATTATGCACATGGATACTACCAGAAATAATGGTGGCATGAACCATTGTGGAATGGGACAGCTCACGCAGAATACTGGAATAGCTCAAGTATCTCTAGGTGATTGTAAATCCTGTCCTGGCTGATAGCTTCGGCCTGCTGCGCCCGTCCATGTACAATGATGGTAACATACATTTCTGTTTTCTACATACATGTATTTGCCGGCTACTATACTGTGGTATTACAGTTGCAGGTCCCTTATATAGAAATATGTTCACCCCCCCCCCCCCCCTACATACCCACATTATAAATATGAACTAACAATTTCACTGTTGGACTCGCCGGCGGCTAGAGAGCAAAGGATTAGTTTATAGCAAAGAAAAGGACCAGGGAACTACAAGTTACGCTATAATGTCCACGAACAATTTCACTGTATTTGAAATAGTTTTGTTTGATACCCTGAGAACTCTGTAAAACTGTGCAGCACTGTGGATTATATGTGGATACAACATTTATGGAAGGAAAAGTGGAATAATTCCTAACACATTGTTCAAATAATTATAGCACTGGATTGTTGAGATTATGAGCACATTCCAATCAGCACTCTACATATTTGGAAGCGGTCAATCGTTAGGAATAGGTCGGGAGTTGTCAGAGTGCTCTAGTATTATGAGAGAATGTTTTGTTTGTCTAATCGATGGCTCGTTTGAAGCCAGAGTTGTTTGAACTTGTTTCAGTCGACTTGATTCTAGACAGTAGTCGAAGGAGTACTATGAAGTATACACCAGACGTAGTCCGTAAGGTATCTCGTGAGAATTCTGTCGGTACACATCAGGTGTCAGCTTGCAAAGATGGCTCCTCTCTGTTTCTTGAAAGACGGTCTAGTTGGACTGTGGCTCCAGCGATTCCCTTCTCAGAGCAGATACCATACCCGATACGGTCAATGCATTTTGGACAGACCTGTGTGCACAACAGAAATAGTGGAGAGAAATCTCTCAGCTCATAAACACATCAGTGAAGTTTGAACTGCCGTTGTTTGTGCCCATCAGTATAAACCTATCGACTGAATAATGTGCAAAAAACCTCTATAACTACAGCTAGGGCCATGGAATTATAAAGCATCTAACTTAGGGAACTGCCAATTCTGGTCTGAGTTGCGTTCGAGGCCTGCAATTCATGATGGCTATCGTATTTTGCATTGACCAGAGATCATATAAAACTTCCAAATGCCACATTGAAACACGCACCACTTTTGAGTACTTTGGTATCCCCCACCAAATGGGCATTCGTTCCCGGGGTGACAGGCGTCACCATTCGTTATGCCTGGATCAGATTTTATTGACCCCAACTGTCATGAAGAATCACAATCATTTACTTTGACTGGATTTCAGTACAAGTTGTAGAACTGCAAAATCAATTTTGTTGTAATTGGGCAACCATTTCTCTACAAACGCTCTATTTGGAAAATAGAATTTTTTTATAAAATGCATATCCAAATTCCACATCTATCCAAATCGGAATACTTGATCACGTATTCAGTACTACACGGAACGTTTAGAAAACGCCAGGGAATAGGAATTTGCTAACGACAACTCCAGGCCAGGGTACTAGCATACGAACAAAACAAGATAAAAACTCACCAGTATACTTGTAATTGTAGTAATTCATGTCGGTGTAATATTCACGATAAGCAACGAGGCACCCTCCGATTTGGTCAAGCTGCTTTGAAGTCTGGTTGTTCAGGTAATACAAACGGGCTCCCCGTTGTTACTTCCAGCAGCTTCACTCTCCCTGCGACAGCGGCTATCAACCTCTCTCTCCATTGTCGACAATTATCACAGATTCAACATTCTACATTTATCAGCACTGCACTGGGTGAATATGTCTCGAGACGAATTTAGCGGATCAACAACGCTTTGCTGGAGATAAATTCTCCTCTGGAGGACCTTCAGGGTACCTGGAAGGGTATAGAAGACGGAATCGCTCACGACGTTGAAAGAACATAGAAAACAACCTCCTCTTCGATTGAAAATTGGCCAAAAAGTGTGGGAAATGTATGTGCGCAGATGCATTTCCACTGGCAAGCTAATCCCTCATTACGTCATCAGCGCTCGCTCGGCGAAATTCAAACGTCGTCTTCCTGCTCGACTCGATCGCTTCTGGAGACTCGTTCTTGTTCGAGGGGTCTTCTCTTTCACCTACCTTCGTCTTGGCATCGAAAACTCGGCGTCGAAAATGAAGCCGGAGTGCCCCTTTAAAAAGAAGGGGAACTACTTGCAAAATACTTTGATATGGACGGCTAAAAATGTGAAAAACAGGAAAAAGAAATGAGGTGACACAACACACCAAACATGTGCCACAGCGCGAAAAGAAATTAGCAGAAGAATACATTGTGTGAGAAAAAAAGTTGTTAGGTTTATAAGCTGAGTATGGCTTGCAGCCCTGCGTTTCAGCCCGGGGCAGCACACTACAGTTGTAGTGTGTTTGCTGCATACTCACAACGGGCTGGCGTGTGCTCAGTGCATATAAACTCACTGCGGGCTGGCGACCAGCCCGGCCTTGCACATGTAAACACCCTTGGCGGGCTGGCCCGCTCTCTCCAGCCCGGGCTGGAGTTGCACATATAATACTAGGCCCCTTAGTTCCGTGTTTTTTGTTTGTGCCATCCGCTTGCCAGGCGCTATCCCGTACCTGACCCGTACCGTACCGTACCATCAAAGACAGCTCGAAAACAGAATACTGCATGATAGAGGTGGTTGCAGACGCAACTGTGGTGGTGAAACTGGAGCATCTCCGCCGACCTGAGGTCTAGGCTTCAGCATCACTTCAATAGGCATGGGCGGGTAATTCTAGCATTATGGCTGGCATTATAGTCACTTTTTCCAGGTGGCATGATGCTGACATTATATCACCATTTCGCATGCAAAATTGGCATTGGAAGCATAATAGCCGGTCGACAACGGTGTCATGCATGAAGCTGGCTGGGGAAAATCGTGCATCTGAACCGATCCGGCTTAATCCGAAGACTTGACGTTGCAAACCATTGTGCTTGAGTTACATCTTATTCAGTTGTTTTCTGCTGCTTTAAGCGGAGGCAATGGGTGACGAGTGGGGTTCCGGAGGCGGCGGCTTCGGTAGCAGCGGAAAAGACAGTTGTTTTGGAGGAACCGATGGCGGTTTCGGAGGTGATGGTGGCTTCGGGAGCGGAGGACGTGGAAGAGGTCCCGGCCGTGGAGGTAGCCGTGGCGGTTGTCGAGGTGGCGACTCCAATGGATTCGGCGGTGGCGGTGGAAGCTTCGGCGGTGGCAGTAGCTCAGGTGGATTTGGTGGTGGTGGCAGCAGCTATTCTGGTGGTGACAATATTGTCCAGGTTCCGTCAGGTGATGTTCGCAAGATCATTGGCAAGGGCGGTAGTAAGATCAAGGAAATCCAGGATACTAGCGGTGCCCACGTTAATATCAAGAAAGACTCGGCTGGTGAAATGACGGATGTTGAGGTCGAAGGTGCTGATGACCAGGTTGCTAAGCCGAAGGAACTCATCCCGGCCTGCATTGCTGGATGTGGTGGCGGTGGAAGCTATGCTGACCCAATCATCATGAAAGTCCCTGCCGGTGATGTAAGAAAGCTCATCGGTCGCGGCGGTAGCATGATTCGTGAGCTGCAAGATAACAGTGGTGCTCGAATCAACATCCAAAAGGACGCTGATGGTGATACCGTTGAGGTTGAGCTGAAGGGATCGACTGACTCCACTGCCAAGGCAAAGGAGGCCATCCAGCAAGTTCTTGCTGGAACTTACAAGAACACTGTTGGTGACAGTGGCGGCTTTGGTGGTGCAAGTTCCTTTGTAGCAGGTACCGGCAGTTCTTTTGGAGCAGGAACCGGTAGTGGATTTGTTGGTGGATCAGGTGAGGGCGGCGGTGCATCCGCGTCTCTGGATGTTCCATGTGACAGAGTTACCAGGATTATCGGAAAGGGAGGCTCACGTATTCAGGAGATCCAAGAGGAGAGTGGTGCCCACATCAACATTGACAAGGACAGCGAAGGCGCAACTACCAAAGTCACGTTGGAAGAATATGACGATGCGTGCCAAAAAGCCAAGGCCACTATTATGTCCATCATTGGAGATTCGGACCACCCCGCGGCGTCTGTGACTTATATCCCCCTCCTCCGCCTGACGGCGAAGAAGAGATTTTCAGGAAGATTGCAACCGGTATCAACTTTGATAAATACGACCACATTGCTGTCAAGTTCACTGGAGAGAATCCAAATGAACCAATTAACTTGTTCACTGAGTCCGGTCTGAACCAGATGCTGATGGACAACTTGAACAAGGCCAACTACGAACGCCCCACACCAGTGCAAAGTATGCAATCCCTGCTGGCATCCAGGGTCGTGACTTGATGGCATGTGCCCAGACTGGTTCAGGAAAGACCGCTGCTAACATGCTGCCTGCTATGCAGAACATGCTAAGTGAGGGCTTTGCGATCGCCATCACTCACAATAAGACTGTTGCAAAGTTCATCGTTCCCAAGCGCTTAAAAATTAATAATGGTCCTTGGTTTCTCACTCAATTTCATCGTACTGTTGTACGACATGCTATACGACATCCTAAAGCGTGATTCCTACTTCCAGTCCTTTCCCAAACGACCAATCCCGATATAACAGATTTCGAGGGTTTTTTTGCCGGGAAACGTTCTCAAGCTTGAGAAATTTCGAATTTGTCTAGTTTTGGGGTATGTATGAAACAGGGTTATCGGCCTGGTCGAGCAGTGAAGGCTTCTTCCACATCCCTTGAATTATTTCATATGAAAGGTAATCAGTTTGGCAATGTCCTGCCGCCAGGAGAATGCAAACAACTCGATAGAATGCGTCCCGGGTGGTAGGGATCATTTTTCTAAGTGCTATAAAATAGCTGACATCGATGCGAAAGTCGGCCTCAAAGTCGACATGGACGTCTTGAACAGGTGAGATCAATCAAAATATCAATGGAGAACACCCTTAAGAATAGATGTATAGTGTTTCTAAGCTTCCAACCCTTGTGTGCTCAAGTGAAAATTGAACATATTTGGACGTGAATATATCACCAGACAAAACCTGATGCAGTACATTAATCATTCAATGGGTATATAGTATACAACCACCATACAAACACGAGCAGGAGAATGAATGGATAGGAGAAGAGTTGGTTATTCATTGCTGTTCAACAAAGAGAAGCACATACTAAAAGTTTAATTGGATGAAAAGTATTTACAATTCACAATTACATGTACATGTATCACTTTCTGCGATGTCACACTTGCGGCGAAGAAATGCCTGTCGCGCACTGTCGCAAGCAGTTGTAGGGCCACTGTCCCAGAAGTTCAAAAGCATAACTCTTGCCAAGCGCGTTGTACACGAATGGAGTGCAGTTCACTAGGCTGGGTGCACGTGAGGGTACTACGCTATCACTTAGATGTCGCAGAAGCAAAACAGATTGTGAATCGTCTGTCGCGGTTGCAGCTCATCGCAGGTGTTGCATGTTGCTCATCGTGGAAAGCAGTTCGTGTATTAGGAATTGAGCTTCAGTAATAACAAAAAGAGGATCCCAGAGGATGACCGACACCGCTGACACTCTTCTGTGCAAAGTTTTGATGACGATGCTTGATTGAGACGTTAACCTGCAATGGAAAATAAACAGCAGATGATACTGATTATATATTAGGTATGGATTATACCATGAGTATGAGGGGTATACCGCGATTACTTTCGAGAGTGCGTTAGGACGAGGGACAATTGGGGGACTCGGTATACACAGAGTACGAATGGTATAATCCATTTGCATGGTACTTTCCTAAATACAGAGTGTGACCAACACGAAAGCTTAGCTCACATTCGACGGGGCACAACGGGACGCGACGTAAGGATTGACGGGAACCGTCGGAACAGTTATGATGCCGACAGACAGCGTCCAATGTGAACACCAGGAACGGGAACGCAACCGTTCTACCCTACAGATTGGGAAGCAAGGGGAAGAGTTGGTCAGTTCAATTTTTCAGACCGTAGACGAGGACGCAAGCGTACAAAAACAACTGCATTCTAGTGTGAACAGGGGATGTGTCGTGCGCTGACCCCTCTCGATGCGCACAACTGCACACTTAGGTTTTTTTAACATTTCGAACACGGTCAACACTACGCTTCCCATGATAACTCGCCGAATGGCTAGCACAACTGATTCAAATTTTAGTAAGATAAGATTTCGTGTCACTTCTTGAAAATCGCAATAGCTGCTGCATGTCATGTCAAACTACATGTTGTGTCTTGCGAATTGTACAAGATTTTACAGCTCACACCGGCCGCCCCAACAGGCCCTTACGTTCCATACCGTCAGCGTTACGTCGAATGCGAACTAGGCTTAAAGTTTCCTTATTCTCGAAGTGACCCATGTGAACCGAGCGGGGTATGTCGCTGAATATATCCCGCTTAGAACGGCCGCTGATTGGCAAAAAGTGATATTTGAGACGAGTTCTATATCACTCAGCTTCATATCACAAATGCTGGCGCACTTACATGGGGAAGGGACGGATCCATACACGTGCACGCATCAAATACTCTGCCAACAGCCAGTCAGCGATGATTTTGAATGCAGAGTACGGGGCAGTTGTGACTTTTTGAGCTCTGCAAATTTTCAAGCCCAACCGGCACTAGGCCGGTCTGGAGGTAGGCATAACAGGCCCCTTGATGTGACAATGTCGTCTGAGGAGTCACCCACCGCACCAGCAGATGTAGACCTTGCTGTGATGGACAATCAGGAGATCCGGCATCTCGCCAAGAGTCACAGACTGGAACACTCGGGACTTTCCCGTACCCAGATAGTCAAGCTTCTTCGCGACAACGGTATTGGTTCGTCGACAAACTCAGCAGGTCAGTCTGACAAGGTGCGCGATGTTGTTCAGCAGGCATTGGCCGATATTGCAAAAAATGTTAAAGAATTGGCCGCCAAGGTAGCCCTAATTTCTGCCTTGCAGTTGGAGGTGTCGTCCCTTCGAGGAGAATTGGCGGCTCTCAAAGAAAGGAACTCTGATCATGACCCTGTACAAACTAGCACACCTGAACCTCAACCCGTACGTGTACAACCGCCTGCTGACAGCGTCAGGTTGTACAGCGAGGCGGCACGTGCACAGTCGTCACAGGTGCGAGCACGGGATAACACATGGGGAGGCCCCAGCCAGCAGGCCAGTACTACACGACCCCAAACAAGTCACCCAGGCACTCAGGTCACGTCGTACTATGAAAACCGGCCCAAGCGCTCTGATCAACTACAGGGAGGATCCCGCACAAAATGTTGCGCTTTGTATGTAGGCAATGTCAATAGTGGGTGCACATCAGAATCGATCGCCAAATGGTGTGAACGCCGAAATATACCTGTCATCAAGTGCTCCGTGTCTGAGACAAAGTACTTCGGGTTGGCCTTTGCTCACGTAATTCTGCCAATACAACACAAAGCTACTGTTCTGGAACCGGAATTCTGGCCTTCAAACGTCAGAGTTCGAGAATGGCGCTTCAAGGCTGACAGTGTAGCAACTGGTCGAGCTGCAGAGGAGCACTAAATGTTCTGTTTAAATCCTCACGCAGCCCCCTTTCAACCCTTGAACCCTCATGCACCTATCTTTCAGCCACGAAATAGTTGCCCCACTGTAAATCCCCTACAGCATGAATTAATTAAAAGTAACCTCAAAATAGGATTCCTAAATGTTTGCCATCTTCTCAACAAAAAGCATGACATTGAAGATTATATTCTTTCCCATAAAGTTGATATAATGATGCTGGCAGAGACTTTCTTAACAACCTCCGTTTCCGATGACATCCTACGCATACAGAATTACACCCTGGTCAGACGCGACAGGCCAACTCATGGCGGAGGCTTAGCAGCATATGTAAGAGATCATCTCCGAGCCCGAATTGTGAAGGCTGACACCCAGGTGGAAATGCTCATGTTAGAGGTCAGTGGGCAGCGTTCCAAGGTTCTCCTTGGTGGTGTGTACCGTCCTCCAGGCACTCCTGTGCAATTCTGGCAAGACTTGACGAATGCACTAGACACTGTCATCTCCACACTTCCCACATCACCTCTGGTCCTTGTTGGAGACTTCAATGTCGATGTAAGCTCCCGCGACAGCCCCCAGCTAAACAGCTTGCTGCACCTGTGTAATTCCTTCGACATCAAGAACCAAGTGGACAGTCCTACCAGAATTGGACCCCAAGGCAGCCAAACAACCCTGGATCTCGCTCTGGTCGGAGCCGATCATGTGAACTCTTGTGTCGTAGTACCTTGTACAATCAGTGACCACTTCCCTCTGGCACTTGATTTGCGACTCGCAACGTCCTGCACACCGACCGTGCGACGTGGCCGTAACATTGCAAGAATTGATATGGGTCAATTTGCACACCACCTTCTAAATAGCGATCTAGAGAACTTCTGCTTTGCGCGGACAGAAGATGAAATGTGGGATATGTGGCTGGAGAAACTTGTCGCGGCCTTGAACACTCATGCTCCTATCCGTCTACACCGCCCAAGAGCTCCTACCCGGAAATCCTTCCCCTGGAAGACGCCCGCTCTACATGACCTAGTCCAGCGACGTGACGCGGCCCATCGACGGTGGAAAGCATCACCTGCAGACCCGGCACTACGCAATGTCTTCACTTCTGCCCGAGACGAAGCCAAGCGTATGTCACGACATCTCCGAGCCATCTACTTTAGGGACCTTCTTGCTGCTAGTCAGGCCAACGCACGAAAAACCTGGCAGACCATCAACTACCTCAGCGGTCGTAACAAGTCCTCAGTTCCACCAGCCGTCAGTGTCTCACAGCTCAGTGACCAATTCAGCGGTGTTGTGTCAGACCCAACTAGACCACTACGTCTCTCAGCCCCATTGGGTCCCACGAAGAAGGAATGCCTCGAAGAATTTGCTCCAGCAAGTGTGCAAGAGATCGCTAAGCTGCTCTCCAACATCGACGTGCGCAAAGCTGCAGGCAGCGACCAGGTTCCAGCTGCAATCCTCAAACACTGTTCTCCTGTCCTTGCACCGTCCCTCACCATACTAATCAATGCATCTCTGGCTTCTGGTGTTGTTCCTGCATCTCTGAAGATTGCGGATGTTCGTCCCCTCTTCAAGTCAGGCGACAAAGCTGTCGCTAAGAACTATAGACCAATATCGTTATTACCAATAGTTTCCAAAGTCCTAGAACGGGTAGTCCACACGAGACTCTGTAAGTTCCTCTCCGGAAATTCCTTGTTCCCCGCAAACCAGTTCGCATATCGCCCACTTCACTCCACAGAAGATGCCCTGACATTGGCTGTAGACAGATACTTGGAGGCAGCGGATCAGCAGCGCCATACAGGTCTTGTACTTGTCGATATGAGCAAGGCCTTCGATAAGGTCAAACACCAAATTTTGGTTACAGATCTATTTCAGCTTGGTATTACCTCAACGGCTCTCAGTTGGTTCATGAGCTACCTAACTGACCGCCGTCAGCGAGTCGTCCTGAGCAATGGCCAGTCGTCCGCCCTCTCTCCCTGTGAGTGTGGTGTTCCTCAGGGAAGTGTGCTGGGTCCTCTTTTGTTCTCCATCTACACAATGGAAAT